CATACAGAAATACATTCGCTTAACGCTTGTTTTATTCAATTCAAAAGCTTATCATCTTTACTGCTATCCAAAACACTGAATATCAGGCTATACAAAACTATAATTTTGCCTGTTGTCTTGTATGGATGTGAAATATGGTCTCTTACTTTGAAAAAAGAACAAAGATTACAAGTGTTTGAAAACAAGGTGCTCAGGAAGATGAAATGTGAGGAATTTATAATAGTGCATAATGAGGATAGTAAAATGAAGGAGGCTCCAGGGGGCTAAACATGTAGCATGCATTGGGGGATAAGGGTGCATAGAGAGTTTTGGTGGGGAATCCTTCTGGAAAACGACCACTGGGCAGACCAAGAAAGAGATGAGAGAAAAATATTTAGGTGAATCTTAGGGAGGTGGGCTGTGAGAATGGTAAATGGACTTGGCTCATGATAGTGGCCGGTGGTGGGCTTTGGTGTTGTTGGTGTTTGATCTGCGGGTTCTGCTACCGGGGAGTTAGTTGGTGAAATATTAATGCATCGCTTGAATGTAGAAAAATGGAAAAATTGAAAAACATTAGATTATGGAATATACTGCTGCATGTACACATACTGGCCAAAAATGGAAGTAAATTACATATTTTTTGTTTTTATATTTCAATGTTAAAAAGATATTTATGATATAAGTAATATTATGCATGTCACAACTGTAACAATAATTTTAAAATCTCAGAAAACTGTAGAGAATCCACTGAATTAACATTGGGAATGGTTAACATTTGATAGTTTCGATACAACCACAAATGATAGCCAAGCAAAAAATAAAACACATCAGAGTATTTTAAGAAAATCAGATGTGATAATTTTATATTGACTTTTGTTTGTATCTGATAATGTCTAAATACTGCATTGTTGAACTAAGATACAATGGTTATAGAAGCAATTATTCAAATAACAAATTAGGAAATATGCATAATAATTCCAGTTCATTCATTCTATTATTGTGTCTAGATTTTCAGCTCACTTCTGTTGCTCTCTTACAAATAGCATAAAAATTAGCAGGGTGGTTAAGCAAGAACCTCTCATGCAAAATTTTTTCATAATCAGCAAGTCCTAGTAATAGAGTTATAAAAAAAAATGTCATTTATATCTAAAACTGTAAGACTTGTGTAAAAGTGTACTGGGCATAAAACACATATTTTAATTTACTACTGTCCAAAATATATTATGCTCAAACAAATATTTATCAAATTACACCGAAGATTCGCATAAAAATGCCTTTGGGTCTCCATGAAAATTTACAATTATTGTTGTCAACAAATTTTAGTAAGACTTCCATTATAAAATTTCACTAAAATTCAATCAGTGCTTCACATGTTGCTACATGTAAACAGGCAGAAATGTAGTGACGCTAGTAGGCACCGTTTTGGTCTTCGCTGTGAGCATGCTTAAAATGGATATACTTTGAATTAAAATTACTAGTTTCTTATTACTCTTTTGCCTGCACAACATTGTTACATAGTTATACCATCTACTGAAAATATGCCTTACTTCTGAAGTTGAAAAAAAAAAAATATATCTTCACATTTTCATGTACATTTATATTTCAACAACATAAATTTTGTGACTTGGATTAGATCAGTTTAATTTATGTCATGCTTGCAATAAACAAACACCAATTTGTCAGTATGGTGACACAACCGGACTGCACGGTAAAAAGGCTCATGCGCATGCTACCATAATGCAGAGTTGTGCTTGTCAGTGCATCAGTAAAAACTTACCTCTGGTATTTTATGTTAGGAAGAAGCCTCGACCGAAGTAGACTTGCAAATACAGTCTGTGCTCTCGATTCAAGACACCAAAATGTTGGCCAATACTTTTCTCGCAGTATTGGTACATGTGCAAGCAAGAAATCCTTAAATTTTCCATTCGAACAAGCAAGAACAGGTTGCTGAAAGAATAATATAATGTTTTACTTATGTTTAGATCTTCAATAAAACATTTATTTTGCATTTGAAGTGACATAAAAATTATACACTTGTTTTTTTTTGATGCCCTCAAAATAGCACCAAATTTACTGTTTCATAATGCGAGCATATATGTCACAGCCACATTTAAAAAGTACTTTATGAGTTCATGTACCACCAATCTTTTAATGGCAACATAAATAAAGATTTATTTTCTTCAGAAATTTGTGGGGAAAAAATAAGGTGATGGAAGGGCCTACATTTATATGAACAGCACAGTTAAGTTCTGGATATACACAATCAAATGTAGTTTTTGTTGAGTTAAAAGAAATTCTACATGCTACTGACACAAGAAACTTCATGGTGAAAGGTTTCTTTGAAAAGCTGATAGTCACCAAGCAGGTCAAGAAATACCCTGCCTGTTACGGAACCTAAAGGTTTATTAGCATATATAAAGGAAAAAGATTCAGTCACACATAATATTTTTATATTATTAACACTGTAGAATTCAATTCTGGACAACATGGTTCAGTCACTTAGGATCATCTTCAGGTCCTCATGGATATATTTCTTATTCTGAAGCAGAGTTACATGTGACTTGCCATTGTCTAGGATTATGTATTTAAAAAATTAATATAAAGTTAAGAATTACAAATAAAAAACAAGTTGTAATGCAGTTAATTGTTGAAACTAATATTACAAAAATTGTTTCGTATAGTTAAGTAGGTAGATAACTCAAAATTACTTTAACCTGACAGGGATTCCAAATGAGAGTCCTTGATTTTTATGTTGTTATTTTTATTTTCTAATCTTTCTGAGACCTTTCTTGACCCTCTTTTGGATTTTGTGTAATTCTGTACAGAAATTTGGTAGTCACTCCATTATATTTTTGTCACTCATAAATTCACATATCTTTTTAATAATTCCCAGCTCTGATCTCCCAGAGTTCTTGAATGTATTTTTGACTAAATTGGTGCCATGTTAAGTTAAACATAAATCACAACAGATTAACTGGTCAATCAAAACTTTGCATTGTACCACATTCTCAGCAAGTACAGACTGTACCGACAGTGTCAAACAAGGGTCACTTGGATGGTCAGAAAAGCAATAAGGTATCCTCACTGCACCTCTGATATATTTGACTTCAGCCTTTCTTATCCAGCATGAAAGAATTATTATGCTCTTTCTTCATGACCTTCAGATATTCTGTCATGCTAGAAACTTACTGTTGCAGGAACAATTGTTTCAAGAAAGACAGCAGCACACTGCTTACTGCCTAACAATTGTTACAGCATCTCCACTGACACTTTCTGTAGTGGTTCATTTCAAGTGGAACTGACTACCCTTTCCCTCTCAATTCACCTGACATCACACCTCCTGTTACCTATGGCACTATTCAATTGAAAGAAAACATCTGTCAAAGAAATGTTTGAAAATCTGCACAGTGATGTAAAAAATATATTGAATACAGTGGAGGATACCTGAAGCATATGTCTGTGAAACTGCTTAAGAAATACCTTGCTATACAATATTTCAGTATGGTTTATGGGTCATAGTGTGGTTTACAAACTGCCTATGTCACACACACATTAGGTGCACTCTAGGCGCAACCAATAATTACATGTAAGATTTTAGGTTTTCACAGCGGTGAGTATGAAGATTTCTGTTTTCTGGGTTGTTGCGCTGTTGCGATGAATATCGCCCTGATGATGGAGGCAGTATGACCTCTGAAAAGTTGGTTAACATCGACCAGACTACACAGCGCAACAACCCAGAAGACAAAAATCTTCATCGCCCTGATGACGGAGGCAGTATGACCTCTGAAACGTTGGTTGACATGCAACAACCCAGAAGACAGAAATCTTCATACTCACCGCCCTGATGATGGAGGCAGTATGACCTCTGAAACGTTGGTAAACATCTACCATATTACACGGCGCAACAACCCAGAAGACAGAAATCTTCAATAATTACATGTAAAGCCACAAATTAAACTTCACTGACAAAAGGTAAATAAATTTGTCCCTACACCTAAGTATTACCCCACGGATGCAAAAAGAGCATGGCAGTAATGCACCATGCATTCGTGATCACAGCATAAGATGGAAATGTGCAGTCAGTTTCAAATTTCAGTCCCTGGTTTCATTGTTAAAAAGGGTTACTAACACTGAATTTCAGGGAACAGATTTTACAATAGCACTGTTTCATGTGCTCTTGTACAAAGATGAACTCTTAGACCATACATATATATATATATATTTGCCATAATTTACAGATACTAATATAAAATCTTCCCCACTTAATGGTACCTGCACCTTGTCGTGGTGGTGGGGCTTGAGTACCTCAGTGACCGCAAGAGCTACTGGTAGGGCCTCCCTAGCCAGATTGGTCGAGGGGGAGAGGTCAGACTAAGACAGGTACCCTGGTCCTCCAGGTTGGGGGTTGGTCGCAAGGCCAACAACCTTGCACCGTAAAAAGGAAGATGTTTCAAAACCTC